GGACAGTCGTTGGGTAAAATTATTAAATTTTGCGTTTAACCACAAGTTTGGTAATTTTGTTACGAATTTCTATTTTTTTGTTTAATTATTTTTTCTAATTTATTTTTATTTGGATGAGTCAAACTGCTTTTTTTTCCTTTACCATTTGTAGGGCAGTCCAATATCTAAGGGCACGTTTGATACATAGAGTTTTTGGAAGTGAGAGGGACCCTCCCACAAATTATGGAGAATAGCTCTTTCATCACTTTTGATGGAAGGGATGTCTTCAAAAAATGAACCCATTTTAACATTAAAAATGAGTTACATGGAAGGCTGCCATTTTATTTGACAGCTTCCATGCAGTAATATCAAATATGAAAGTGAGACATGTAACTCCTACTTCCAAAAACTTTCACTTATCAAACACACCCTAAAAGAAAAAGTTTATATAATGTTGCAACCTTAAAATGTAGAATTACATATGCACCTCGAAAATCCATCGGGAAAGGTTGTTTTAATATTGAAAAACCCTTTAATTGATCATCTCGACATCAAGATATATGAATATAAAAAAAAAAAAATTTGAGTTCTAGAAGTAGTGCATCTTGTAACACATTATCTAGACCGTCTGTTTTCAAGATTCCCATTTGTTTATAGATCTACTTGATTTTAACCATTTTTGAAGCTTACAATTTTATAGGGAAATGATTTCATGCAATGGTTGTATAGTAATATGATACAACAACCTTAAAAAACCATCTTATGGCCATTTGTTTGATCCAAATTTTGAAAGATACACTCTTTTCATTCTAATGAAGAATTACAAAAAAGAAAAATTTGAAAACACAACCTAGAAAGTACTTTTTTTATTAACATAAGCTGTTCATTTTGGTGAGATGCTTAAATCTAGGCCTTAGAAGGATTTTTTCATTTTCAATTTTTTTTGATGGCTTTATTATCATTAGATGAACAAGGTTAAAAAAGAACAAAAATGATTTTGAGTTTATAAAGACTAAGATATTGAAATTCACAAAATGAAGGGTCTAGATTTGGTTTTGGAGGATACTCATTTTGACCATATCTAGGGTTTAAATTGAACTTTTTTTTTGAGGATTAGTTATTGAGATGAAGAGAGTGTGTGTATAAAATTTAGGGTCATACAAATACCACAAACATAGTTTTCTAGAAGTATCGTTGCATTATACTATGATACAACCGTTGCGTTAGATCATTGCTCAATTTTATAATTAGATATGAAAATAAATTTTAAGATAATTCTATAAATTCTTTATATAAAAATTACGTATTATGATAAAATTTGGAGGTATGTCTTAATTGGATTGTTTAAGGTTGCAACCTTATAGAAACCGCACCATATCGAAAGTATCGAACTTGCCCATTCTTAGGGCAAGGCATATGCAACATCGAACTACTTTTGCATTTTTGCCGATCCTTCTTTATAGCCAATCTGATGTTACAAACAATAGACTGCTAGTTTTAATAGTTTTTTTATATTTTAGCGCTGCTAGCTTTTGAAGTTAGGACCACATATACCTAGGGATAAAAAGTAGTTCAAAAGCAGTACGATGTTCCAAAGCTTAAACTGCTGTTATATATGGAAAAAGTTTATATAGAGCCGAGGCTCTAACAATAAATTTTTTGAATTTGAGCCTACTCAAAAGTTTCATTAGAAGAGGTTGATGCTCAAATATCTTCAAATTGATCATCTCGACATCAAGATGCATGGATATAAAAAAAAAATAGATTGCAAGTTTTGAAAATAGTGTATTTTTAAACGCATTTTTGGACCATCAATTTTCAAGATATGTTGATCTACACTATTTTTGAAGCTTTGAACTTCATAAATAGATATGAAAATATATTTTAAAACTATCACAAATATTTTCAATATTGAAACTACATTTCTTGATACTATTTGGAGGTAGGCTGTAATTTGATTGTTTAGAGCCTAGGCCCTATACAAACCGCACCTTTTATATATATATATATATATAAACTATGAAAAAAGGGGTTTGATACGATGTAGGAAAAATCGACCGCTCCACTAAAAAACGAGTTGAGGTGAATTGTCCACAGTTAAACGACCTCAAAAGCAAGTAACTATGGCATTCACTACTGCTAGCTTAGGGCAATAGGGCACTGGCCTTCTTTCTCTCCCTCTCCTTCTCTCTAAAGAGAGGAATAACAAGTTAGAGGGAGACATAAAGAGAACGACATAGAGAGAGAACGGCAGGGGCATGTCTCTCTCTCCCTCTAATATATCTTGCTATATTTCTTTCTATTTTATGTACTAAAATAGTGTAGTCTACAAGGATCACACTTAGTTTTTACATTTTTTTCAATACTCCCGCTCAGTATTCCTTTATTTTTTCACATTTCTCTCGTTTGTTTGCCGAAGTTCAAAGTGAGAACATCACATCCCTACGTTTCTTTTTCCTTTTTTTTTTATTTTTAAATCTTAATATTTCCTACGTCATCTTACCTCTCACACACCCATGAACATGCTGGCCTCACTTTTTCTCAGATCTTCATTTTGAGAGAGGACTTCTTTTATCCCTTCAGCTATAGGGTACCCTAGAGTCTACACTACTCATGAGGTTTCGAAGTGAATCAAGAAAGAAGGGATTATCATTCCAATTACTGGGTTACTCATTAAGGGTTGTCGGATAGGACCTTTTTGACTTGGGTTCCTACTCGTTTCACAAAAACAGGAAACCTTGAAACTAGCATGGGTTTCTCTCAGTTTTTTGGTACGTCAAGGGACTGGTGAATGAAATCACACAGATTTTCCAGTTTTCTATTTCGTATCATTCAAGAAACAATAAATTTATCACTGCACTGCAACTCTCACCAACTCTCTGGTTATATGCCTGTATTTCTGCATCATATCATTCCTCTCTTTACCTAACACAATTTTGTTAACCATCCATTTCTTTCAAATGAGATACGTATACTCAAAAACACTCAAAACCTATTGATTCTCAATAAAGGCATACTCACACCTCTCTCTCTCTCTCTCTCTCTCCATGTGGGATAGTAGTGTTTGGAAAAATTAAGAAAATCAAAGAAGAAAGGAAAAAAAAAGAAAAAAAAGTTGCATAAAGCCATGTTCCCTATGTGTGTTTGATGATTTAGAGTTTAAATGATAAAAATATATAGTGAACATGGGAAATTTGGTAACTAGAGATAATTTGACTCGAACTCGTCGATTCTAGGAAGGAATCGACCTAGCTACCTCCAAATCCGTTTTGGTTCAATAATCCATGTCTTGATGAAAAGCAAAGGTTATGGAAGTTAAAAGAAATATTACAATCGGAATATCTTTGATAGGGGGAGAGAGAGAGGTAATGGAAGTAAAAGAAATCTTACAATTAAAATATTTTAGAGAGAGAGAGAGTGAGGAGAGGAGAGAGAGAGAGAGAGATCCATTTCATGGACAAAGTAAAAAGAGTTTTAGGCCAAGAGAGTGGTTTCTCACGTAACGGAACGACTTCATGTTCCAGTAGAAAGGTGACCTAAAAACAAGGGAATTGACGTATATCAAACAGAATCGATGTATAAAACAAGCTAAAAGATATTCTACTTCCGTGGCAGTAGAATGTACATTTATTCCCTCGAGTAAAACCCCAACTAAACATAATTTAAAAGATCTCAAATTTTAATGATGTAACTTATTCAATCCATAAATTAATCTCAATTAATAAATTTATTAATTACACCCTCTATGCACTTGAAAAAAATAAGGATACAGTTTGTATAGAGCTTACGCTCTAAACAATCAAATTAAAGCCTACCTTCAAATAGTGAAAAATGTGATTTCAATATTGGAAATCATTGTGATAGACTTAAAATATATTTTTATATTTATTTATAAAGTTTAAAGCTTCAAAAATAGTATAGATCGACAGATCTGTGAAAACTTACTAATCTTGAAAATTAACAGTCCAAAACAGCATTACAAAATACACTATTTCCAAAACTTGAAATCCATTTTTTTCTCATGTCCATGCATCTCGATGCCGAGATGATCAATTTGAAGATATTTAGGCATCAAAACAACCTCTTCTAGTGAAATTTTTGAGGTAAGCTCAAATTTGATTGTTTAGAGCTTGAGCTCTATATAAACTTTTTCTAAAAAATAATCTCTCAAAATTGAATAGAGACCCTCCAATTTTTTGATACTGAGATCTAAGAGTTGGAAAAACTCAAATTTCGCTATCTTTTTTTTTTTGAAAAGAATCACCTACTAATTCTAAAGTAGTTCCCAAAATTTCAGATTGATAGGGCTGCAGCAGTCCAAAAATAAGAAAAGCTACACCTCAAAACTCATAAAAATTGCTTCGGTCTTGACATTATATCTATCATTATATTTGTAAAAAGAATTAGAATTTCAAACCCTAAAACATGTATATTATAAAAAATTATCTGGACCGCTCATTTCACCCTAAAAGTATAAATCGAAAAGATCTTTACCATTTTTAAAAATTTTAGTTTCATTAAAAATCGATTTTAATGCCATCACACATATTTGGGAGGGCCAAAGTACTTCGGGAGCAAAATGTCTTTAATTTGTTTTGATAAAACCTATACCTTATCGAAACAGCATTGGACATAAATTTGAGGCACCCAATTGTCCCAAAGGCAAAACCTGGTTAATGATTTCGTTGAAAATTAATCGGTGGACCTGCGCCTTATTTATTTGGACAGGAGAGGAACAGGCAATAAGCACAAGGCAGCCAACCCAAAGCAAGGGTGGGGGGTGCTACGGCGTGGACCACATTCCCTTGCACTCTAGAGCGAGAAAGATAGATGGACCACATTCTAGAGAGAGAAAGAGAGATGATGGGATGGAAAGGACAAAAGGCACGGACGCGTGGAAGGGAGGGATTCTTAAAATGGGAAAACACATCACGTTCTCCATTTTCACGCATTTGGAAACACTGGCTTCTGGTCTCCAAATGGTTGACGTTCTCTCTCTAAAATGAATGACCCTTCGCCATGAGGAGAGAGATAAATCTCTACGCCATCCACAGAGAAAGAAAGAGAGAGATCCTATCAATTTTGCCTGCAAATGACCCTTTCCTTTCACCTCTCTGTTGCAGTTTCTAGGGAGAGAAAGACTTCCTTTCACCTCCGTGGTGCAGGTGCAGTTGGTAGAGAGAGAGAACCTGTCTAAATCCCATACAATACTTGAACACTCCTCTCTTCCCTTCACTGCCCTGGTGCAGTTGAGAGAGATGGGTAGAGGGAAGATAGAGATAAAGAGGATAGAGAACCCAACAAACAGGCAGGTCACCTACTCGAAGAGAAGAGGGGGAATCATCAAGAAGGCGAAGGAGCTCACAGTCCTCTGCGATGCTGAGGTCTCCCTTATAATGTTCTCCAGCACTGGCAAGTTCTCCGAGTATTGCAGCCCTTCTACAAGGTAATTCTCTTTCCTCTCTCTCTCTCCCTCTATAAAGTTTTTTGCAGAATCCACTTCCTTTCCCACATTTCTGACTCTGCTTTTCTGGTCTCTCTCTCCCTCACGCATCTGTTTGAAGCACGAAGAAGATTTACGATCGATACCAGCAAGTCTCAGAAACCAACTTATGGGACACCCACTATGAGGAAAGTTTAACAACTTTAATTTCTCTCTCTTCAGCCAAATTTAATTACGACACAAAAGGTTCGATTTTTTCTATCTCCTCAAGCATTTTGAAGATGGGTTTTTTCTGGTGTTGCAGAAGATGCAAAGGGACTTGGGCAATCTCAAGGAGGAGAGTAACCGGCTTCGGAAACTTATAAGGTGCACTTTAGTTGTAGTTTCATCTTGATTTCATTCAATCTATAATGTGTTGTTGCATCATAATAGGTTTTGTGCTCCAGGCAAAAGATGGGGGAAGATATTAATGAATTGAAATATAAAGAGCTGCGTGATCTTGAGCAAAATCTTGAGGAATGGGTGAAACGCATCAGAGATAAGAAGGTGATTTTCAATTCTTTGTTCTTTCGTTTTCCTTAACAGTCTATTCAAGTTAATAATCCTTGATTTTTTATTTCATTAGCATTAATAATCTCCATTGCATTCTTTTGTTACAGAACCATTTGGTGACAAACCAAACTGAAACATGTAAAAAAAGGGTAAGGAATTATATAGAAAATAAGAGCTATATTCGCATATTACCAAAGTTATATTGATATTAAATTAAAACCAGACTTTATTTCAGATAAAGAATTTGGAGGAGCAAAACAAAATGATGAGGCATATGATGGTGAGACCCCTGATTTGAGCTTGGGTTCTAAGTTTTTAGGGAAGGCACTTTAGATGGGCTTTTGACTGATAAAAATTCATCTTTATTCCATTTTCCACTGATTCTTGAAACAGGAAGAAGATGAAGCAGAACGAGGCTTAGAGGATGATGGAGATTATGAATCGCAACTCGCTCTCGGGGTGAGAAACACTCACTTATTCGCGTATCGAATGAGGCCCGCTGAAGGGAACATACATGACAGAGGATATGGTCTCAATGACTTGCGACTGGGTTAAAGCCATTCATATATTTAAGACCAGTATGGTTTTATAAATTACTATTTTAGCATCTCCATTCCTATATGTGTAAGACATCAACAACTTTAAATAATTTAGGCTGGAGTGTTCTTATTAGACTCAACAAGGAAGAGCCCTTTATGTAGTTTTGCTTGCACTAGATATTTGAATGAGATTAATCATAAATTTCTTAGTTGATTGCTGAAATGGTGCTTTAGCAATTATGAAATGTCATGGTGTTTGCTATAAATGTTTTGGATAGAAAATGTTTTGGAAATGTGAATAGACTAGAATTGAAGTTTCAGGAACTAAATAGAGTATGAAAGTTGGTACGAGTATAAATAGAAAGTCGAAATTTAATCTCATAGGTCTGAGATATGCATGAGTTCACATGCTATTCAATGCATGCTCATTTTTTCTGCTTAGATGGTCCAGGTCCCCTTCAAAGCCTTGATGCCCATGAAAAATCTTATATAAGTTGTAGAATTAGTTAGGAATCATCTTTTATAATATCTATTAGTGTATGCACAGTATTTTCCCTGAAGGTTGGAAATTTTTTTTTTTTCCTTGTTAATGTGTAGCATTAGAGTATAATTGCAATGGGAACTTGGGGCTTCATTCATAACAGATTTGGTATAAATCAATGAACCGCAATTCACTACTGCAAAATTTCATTGAAAGGCCCATTATTTGATTTCAAAGAAATTGCCCTCCTAAGTTTAGGAACTTGTAAAGTTCTCTGGTTTTCATTTTTCAACTTACAGAAGAAACTAGCGTTTATAAGGTCAGGTTGGTAACTGTTTTAAGCCAAGCTTGAGAAATTCTTTAAAATTCATCAAAAGGATAGATAAAGTAGAGATAATATGGCTTGAAACCGTAGCTGAGTCCAAGGAATTAGACATGACTCGAAGCTTTGAGGATATTCATGTGGGGCAAATACTATGATCAAGAACTTGATCATTTCTATTTAACTATAGAAAAAGTTCATATAAGGTTGCAACCTTAAAATGGAGAATTAAAGGAGCACGTAAAAAATCCATCATACAGAGTTTTTTGGATGTTGTAAAACCCTCTAATTGATCATGTCGACATTGGGATGTATGAATATGAAGAAAAAAAGATTTCGAGTCCGTGAAATAGTGCATCTTGGAACACATTTATCTGGACCGTCCATTTTCAAGATTTTTATGTGTTTATAGATCTGCTTCATTTGAATCATTTTTAAAGTTTAAATGCCAGTTTGGATGTATCCAAAATTGGAATATTTTTGGATTGCAATCCAAAAGTCTTGTGAAACCGACTTTGTGCCGTTTGGATTACTACACGATTTTGCTAGATTTTTAGATTGAAAGAAAACATACTACCGTGTCAAGGCAAAAGTTATCATTCAAAAAAATTCAAGCTAGACTTGAATTTTTCTGATAAAAGTGCGGCCTTTTCTCACCCCGTGCAAACTGCACACCCAGCTTTCGCGTTATTTGCCCATGACCCAACTCTCTTGTGCTCTGTCTCTCATTGCCAACCAAAAACCCAACTCTCTCTAGCACCCTGCTACCCAACTCTCTCGCTTTCTCTCTCTAAGAAGCTCCTATGGTGTTGCTAATCGTTAAGTGACACCAAGCATTTGTATCGACTTGAGTCCATGATTGATTCAAGGTCTCCATCTTTTGACAGGCTTGTTCAATAGCTCTTTTGGTTCAACCTCCATATCTCCTTCGGTTAATAATTAGAGTCCACATTTCCTCACAATCCGAAGCCATGAAAGCAGAAACCTTAGTCTTTTAGCAAAAAAAAAAAGTATTTTGCAGAGAACCCCTGTGTTCATAAAAAATAACACAAAACCCAAATTTGCAGAGATGGACAAGTTCTCGTAGAAAACCCTAGGGTTCATCAGAATCAATGAAAACCCTACAATTGGAGCGAGGTTAAGCTTAAAACCTGAACCAAAATGTGCAGAGAGACAAAAGAGATCAAGAGAGGTAAGAGGGAAGGAGAGAGAGACCATTTGGTGAGGCGAGGGATTTGTGACGGAGTAATACAAATCTATAGTTGGGGCTAAAATAAAATACTTGTGTAACCCCCAAACGACTTTATAAGAATACAAAAAAGGCTTTGTAATTTTTTCAATTGTCATTTGACAAACTTGAAATTTTTATGAATAACAAATTCTTTTTATTTGACATCCAAACTGGCCCTTAAATTTTATAATTAGCGATAAAAATAGATTCTCAAGTCCTCCTAAGAATTTTTCATATCAAAATTACGTTTATGATCAAATTTAGATGTGCGTGTTAATTGGATTGTTTAAGGTTGCAACC